CAGCGCTGCCCCTGTGCTTCTGAAGCAGCTCCTCGTGTGGGTCCAGCCCCAGCGCCCCAGCTGCTCCTCTCTGGCCATGTTTAGTCATGAGGGAGTGAGAGGAGGCCTCTGAGACGCGAGCCCTGTGATACTTGGGCAGACAGAGGAGGCACAAACTGAGTCCTTATTCCATACTCCAGAGGCAAACCAGGCTGGGCTTGGCTCTCGGGCAAGGCCGTGTTTACAGAAGAGATGACGGGAGCAGGGACCTGTCAGGAGCAGGACGGGAAGATGTTCATGCTGAACAGCACGGCGGAGGTTTGGTCCAGGTCTAGATTGTTACCTCATAACTGAAAGTCCTGTTGGCCTTGAATGCAGTGCCATACAAGGAGCGTGGGAGTTGCTGTCACACTTCACGGCTCTGGTCTTGGATAGCTCCCAGGTTGATGAGATTTAAAATCCAGAGAATGCTGGAGGAATTCTGCAGTATTATGTTGTATGCATTTAAAAGTCAGGGAAGCATGAATCTGGCTCCAGTCCATCACATATACATTTTATATATGAAAAAAATTGATGCCAGAAGTTAAAAGCTCGCAGCTAAACAGGGCAGAGCTGGAACCAAAGCTCTGAGGCCTGATGATGTGTGCTGGGTTCTGCCCTCCACCAGCTGGAGTCTCACCTGCCGGCCTCACCTGCCTGCCAGCAACTCACCTACAGTCCAGAGTCACCTGCCAGCAACTCACCTACAGTCCAGAGTCACCTGCCAGCCAGCTTCACCTAATGTCCAGAGTCACCTGCCGGCCAACCTCACCTGCTGGCTCACCGTGTTTATGGTGTTTATGGTCTACCATTTTTCGTTAATTCACCAGAAACAGAAAATGTTTCCTTGGAATTTTTCCATTTTGTTCATTGCTTTCCCCTCTGGGATTAGGAACAGTTTAAAACAGGTGGGTAGAGTGAACCTGTGAATACTAAGGACAAATATTTGAGGGAATGAGATCTGCAAATACACGGTCGCCTTTTCAGAAATGCTGTTAGGTCAGGGGCTGCCAGGAGGGAGGAGACTCTGGAGGGAGGAGTTCTCATGTGCCTGCTGCCAGGCCGGGGACCCCTGCGCTGGGGATGGGTGAGGTCTGTTTTCGTGCTTTCAACACTTGACCAGGCTGAATTTCTGTCTTTGTAGTAACGAGCTGAGCATGAAGACAGATTCCCGCTTAAACTTGCTAGATGATGGGACCCTGATGATCCAGAACACACAGGAGACCGACCAGGGCATCTACCAGTGCATGGCGAAGAACGTGGCTGGAGAGGTGAAGACGCATGAGGTGACCCTCAGGTACTTCGGGTCTCCAGGTATGTGGCAGGCATTTCACACCTGGGTTCCGTCCGGAATCGCCGTCCCTCGCTATCCGACTTCTTACCTTGCACCCCAACTCAGTAAACTGAGAATAAACATTGAAGCCTGAAGTTGAAGCTCCAATACCAGGGTTAGCCCCAAAGCTTTCCAAGCACAGGGAGGGTCGTGGGTGATCCATGAGAGGTGCTGTCGTCCCCAGTTAGCGCCTCATCTGGGGACACGCTCAGAGTCCGCACAGCCAGGGCAGTCCAGGCTGTGAGCAGCCATGGAGAGAGGGACTTGGAAACCTGGAGAGACTGTGCCACACCCTGAGCCAGCCATCCTCACCCTGGCCCACCGACCCCACCGCCCACGCCCATCTGAAGGGACAGCTCCTCAGCCACAGCCAGCTGTTGCCATGTGGTAATAAGGTCTCTATTTTTCTCAGGGCTTGGATTATGTAAAAGAAACCACAAATCTAGATTTTTATCCAATATTTTCATGTTTAAGATAATGGCACCGAAATTTAAAACATTAAAAAACTGTCCCAGCCACATCAAGCACAGCTGTGGCCTCTCATCCATCTGGGCCCCACCGAGATGCAGACTCTGCTCTGATCCACCTGTTTTATCCAGGGTATTGTCAGAAGAGGAGCTGGGGCCTTGCAGAGCTGCTGAGAGAGGCATTGGGTGGCCCCACCGTGGTGCTGGGAAACGAGGCGGATCACTCCACGCCTCTGGGCGGGTCTGCCTGTCCCTGGTCTCTCGTGCGGAAGCCGGTAGAGTCAGAGCCCTTACCCAGGGAGGCTGCAGGTGTAACCTCCTCTCTGAAATGTTCTGGCTGCCATTAGCTTCAGCCACAAATCGTGCCAGGGTCGCTGTTTCCCTGATTTTGTATTTCAGGCCATTATGGTTAGAAAACCTGCTGTATGGCAATGTAAGTGGTTTTGGCATTTTTTGTTTAGATCCCAGCTCCTTAACTGGCCTGATCTCTGCATTACCTGGTACATCCCAGCACAGACACAATCGACAGTTACCAGTGAGTGAGAATTCCTGGCTGTGACATTTCCATTCAAAGGAAAGCCCAAGGATATAGTGCGGCTGCTGAATCACGGCCCTTCGTCAAACAGCCTTCCACATGTTTAGCACAAGGCATTTAGCATCCTTCCAAAGTCGGGGTGCTGTGGGCCTGTGCAGAGAAGTTAAGACATAGCTCCTGCTCATGGAAGGAGCACGGGCTCTATTTGTAAGGAATTTAGAAATCCACAAAACAGGGAGAAAAAGTTGGGTAGTGCTGTTTAAGTATATGTTTTAGAACAAAGGAGAATGACCATGGATTATGAGTAATGAACTGCTTAGAAGAGCTGCTATGATGGTAGGTTAATTGATTACTGGACAGGAATATTTAGCCAGCTCTTTATGGCTTGAGAGTTCCGAATTTCACTCCTTGGATCTGACTTCTTGTGTCTTTCTCTGGGACAACAGCCCTGTTTAGTATCCTAGTCTGAACATGTGGGTGTGGCTCCCTCAGATACACACAGAGTCTCCCGCAGTCTGGTGACAGGGAGTCCCTACAGCATGAGGGAGCCAGCCCGGAGCCTCAGCCAGGCCACACTACAGCCCACAGTCACACCTGGCCCACTGCCTGTTGTCCTAAGGTCTACGAACTCTTTTTAAATGACCAACACTTTTAAAAGAACAGTATCTTATGACAACATGACGGCTATAAGAAATCCAAGTGTCAGAGTCTGTGATAAAGTTTGCTTGGCGTGTGAGCACACTCATTCTTTTGCACAGTGTCTGTGGCTGCTTTTATGCTACTGTGGCAGAGTTGAGTGGCAGCAACCAAACCTGTGTGGCCTTCAAAACTTAAAACAGGCACAATCTGGCCCTTTATGGAAAAAAATGGCGAACTGCTGTTGCAGACTAGGAATAATCTATAGTAATAGGAACAGAATGATGAGTAAGTCTCTGTGAACCGTAAAGGGGCATATCACACTCACAATCCTGAAGCACTGTTATTAGGGGCAAATAAATTTGCAATTTTTAATCTTTCTGATGAATTACATCTTTTATCATGGACGCTTCTATCTCTGTCATTGCTTTTGCTTCAAGGCAAATCTGCTGTAAGGTAGAGAACAGCCTACACTTGGTTAGCATCGTCCGGTGCATCTTTTCACACCATTTTGCTCTAAGCCTTTCCGCGTACATACGTTTGAGAGGTTTAATATAAATAATATACAGCGTAAAATTTTTTAAAAATCCAGGCTGTTTTTCTTAAAGTTAGTCCATTTAAATGTTTATTACACTTAGCAATATGAGATTTATAAATTCTACCTTTTATTTTAAAGTTTGTCCAAACTTTTCTATGCTCCCTGTTTTACTGTGAAATAATAATTTTCCATATTTGCTTCCCACTACTAGTTTAGACATTATATGCCCATTTCTGTCCGTTTAGTGGTTGGCCTAGAAAATTTTAAATGCATTCTTAAATTGTCAAAGCCTAAAGTTAGTTTAATCTTCCTAACATGCATGCATTCATTCCTCTGAGTTTATGTGCTTAGTTCTGTGTTTTTTTTAACCTATAAACATTATTATTTTGTTCTCCCAGCGTTTGTCTCGATGCATCCACGTGGTTCCCACTTCCTTTGTTCATATCAGCTCTTCTTTCGGGGATCACCCTCCTCCTACCTGATGTGGGGGAGCTGGGCGGCAAGCCCGTGCGAGGACCAGATGTTAGTGAACAACATTGACATGAGATTTAGTTCTCTCTTCTGTTGGGCATCGTTCCCTGGGTGGGGCTGGCCGGCTTTGACATTAGTTCTTTCTCATGCCGAGGGCACAGCACTGCGGGGTGCAGCTGCTCGGGTTTCTGTTGGACGTCTCTTCCTGGGCCTGTGTGGATCTGTGTCTTGGCTTCTGCGTCTCGTGGCTCTTTAAAGCTAAATTTAAGTTATAAGGTCTGCAAATGCCCTCAAGGCCGACTTTAACTTTGGTGTTCCTATGTCTCTAAGTAGCTTCACGGTTTCCGGTTTGTTATTCTGATAGAAATGCTAATATTAAATGTCATTTCTGTATTTTTTATAATTTATACTTAACTATTTGATGAACACAGTTGACCTATGAACATATGTAAAAAAGGTAGAACGTCTTCCTCGTGCTCTTTCCGTCATCCTCTCAATTCCTATTCCATTCACCTCGTCCCAAAGTACTTAGTTTCGTCCGTCTGTTGACAAAAAAACGTAAGCATATTTGAGGCAAGTGATTCTTCTCAGATGGTAGCTTAGAAATCTTCCCAGTCTTTCACTTTTAACACAGGAGTTTCTTTTACTGTCTTCCTTCCTACAGCTGCATAGAATTCCATTATCTAAATGCACCATAATTTATTTAACACGTTCCCCTTTGGAGTGAATTTAGATTTTTTTCCCAAATCTTTAGCTATCACAGTTCCATGTCTTTTATTCAATAACCTTTGGGCCAGATGTCATTTGATATTCAGAAACTTGGGGAAAATTTTAGAAGGGCAGCATAGTGTATAAACCACACAGCAATTTAGACCGTCAGCAGAGCATGGGACAGTACCCTTTAATCATTGTGTTAATACCCTACAGCAAACTGTATGGATATTCACAGAAAATAGAATGAAGACTATATGTAACCTCATGCTAGATAGATCCAATTTTGCAAACAAGTTATGAAAAAAATAATGATTTTTGGAGCTTTCTGAATTTTAGCATGGCACATAAAGGTGGCTGACCTGAAGAAACAACAGGGCAAAAGGAAAACAAGTAACAATTTATTTTTATTTATTTATTTATTGAGACAGAGTCTCATTCTTGCCCAGGCTAGAGTGCAGTGGTGAGATCTCAGCTCATTGCAACCTCTGCCTCCTGGGTTCAGGTGATTTCTCCTGCCTCAGTCTGCTAAGTAGCTGGGACTACAGGTGTGCAGCATCACACTTCGCTAATTTTTGTATTTTTAGTAGAGACAGGGTTTCTCCATGTCGGCCAGGCTGGTCTCGAACTCCTGACCTCAGGTGATCTGGCCATGTTAACCTCCCAAAGTGCTGGGATTACAGAAGTGAGCCACCACATCCGGACCAAACAGAAATTTATTTGGACATATGTCATTTTATGTGCTTGTAAAAATATCTCTAGATTAAGTGTCTAGCAGGATGATTTTATTTTTTAATTTTACTTTAAGTTCCGGGATACGTGTCCTGAATGTGCAGGTTTCTTACATAGGTATACATGTGCCGTGGAGGTCTGCTGCACCTGTCAACCTGTCATCTAGGTTTTAAGCCATCATGCATTAGATATTTGTCCTAATGCTCTCCGTCCCCTTTCCCCCCACCACCCAACAGGCCCCAGTGTGTGACGTTCTCCTCCCTGTGTCCATGTGTCCTCACTGTTCAACTCCCATTTATGAATGAGAACATGTGGTGTTTGGTTTTCTGTCTCTGTGTTGCTTTGCTGAGGATGATGACTTCCAGCATTAATGTCCCTGCAAAGAACATGAACTCATTTTTTTTTATGACTGCAGAGTATTCTGTGGTGTATATGTGCCACATATTCTTTATCCAGTCTGTCGTTGAAGGGCATTTGGGTTGGTTTCAAGTCTTTAATATTGTAAATAGTGCTGCAATAAACATACGTGTGCATGTGTCTTTATAGTGGAATGATTCATAATTTGGGGGGTATATACCCAATAATGGGATTGCTGGGTCAGATGGTATTTCTGGTTATAGATTTTTGAGGAATCACCACACTTTCTTCCAAGATGGTTGAAATAATTTACACTCCCACCAACAGCGTAAAAGTGTTCCTATTTCTCCACATCCTTTCCAGCATCTATAGTTTCCAGACTTTTTAATGATTGCCATTCTAACTTACATGAGGTGGTATCTCATTGTGGTTTTGATTTGCATTTCTCTAATGACCAGTGATGATGAGCTTTTTTTAATATGATTGTTGGCGGTATAAATGTCTTCTTTTGAGAAGTGTTGGTTCATATCCTTTGCTCACTTTTTGATGGGGTTGCTTTTTATTTTCTTGTAAATATGTTTAAGTTCCTTTTAGATACTGGATATTAGACCTTTGTCAAATGAATAGATTGCAAAATTTTTCTTCCATTTTTTAGGTTGCCTCTTCACTCTGATGATAGTTTATTTTGCTGTGCAGAAGTTCTTTAGTGTAATTAGATCCCATTTGTCAATTTTGGCTTTTGTTACAATTGCTTTTGGTATTTTAGTCACAAAGTCTTTGCCCATGCCGTTGTTCTGAATGGTATTGCCTAGGTTTTCTTCTAAGGTTTTTACGGTTTTAGGCTTAAGTCTTTAATCCATCTTGAGTTAACTTGTGTATAAAGTGCAAGGAAGGGGTCCAATTTCTGTTTTCTGCATATGGCTAGCCAGTTTTCCCCGCACTATTTATTAAATAGGGAATCCTTTCCCCATTGCTTGTTTTTGTCAGGTTTGTCGAATATCAGATGGTTGTAGATGTGTGATTTTATTTCTAAGGCCTCTATCCTGTTCTATTGTTCTATATATCTGTTTTAGTATCAGTACCATGCTGTTTTGGTTACTGTCGCCTTGCAGTATAGTTTGAAGTCAGGAAGCATGATGCCTCCAGCTTTGTTCTTTTTGCTTAAGACTGTCTTGACTATACAGGCTCTTTTTTTGGTGCATATGTGATTTAAAGTAGTTTTTTCTAGTTTTGTGAAGAAAGTCAATGGTAGCTTGATGGGAAGAGGATTGAATCTATAAATTACTTTGGGCAGTATGGTCATTTTCATGATATTGATTCTTCCTATCCATGAGCATAGAATGTTTTTCCATTTGTTTGTGTCCTCTCTTACTTCCTTGAGCAGCAGTTTGTAGTTCTCCTTAAAGAAGTCCTTCACGTCTCTTGTAAGTTGTATTCCTAGTTATTTTATTTTCTTTGCAGCAATTATGAATGGGTTTGGCTCTCTGCCTGTCTGTTATTGGTGTATAGGAATAGGAATGCTTGTGATTTTTGCACATTGATTTTGTATCCTGAGACTTTGCTGGAGTTGTTTATGAGCTTAAGGAGTTTTGGGGCTGAGACTCTGGGGCTTTCTAAATATACAATCATGTCATCTGCAAACAGAGATAATTTGACTTCCTCTCTTCCTACCTGAGTACCCTTTATTTCTTTATGTTGCCTGATTGCTCTGGCCAGAACTTCCAATACTGTGATGAATAGGAGTAGTGAGAGATGGCATCCTTGTCTTTTGCTGGAAGGGAATGCTTCCAGCTTTTGCCCGTTCAGTATAATATTGGCTACGGGTTCATAAATAGCTCTTATTATTTTGAGATATGTTTCATCAATACCTAGTTTATTGAGAGATTTTAGCATGAGGGGGTGTTGAGTTTTATCAGAGGCCTTTACTCCATCTATTGAGATAATCCTGTGGTTTGTCACTGGTTCTGTTTATGTGATGGATTACGTTTATTGATTTGCATATGTTGAACCAGCCTTGCATCCCAGGGATAAAGCCAACTTGATCATAGTGCATAAGCTTTTGGATGTGCTGCCGGATTCAGTTCGATGGTATTTTAGTGGGGATTTTCACATCAATGTTCATCAGGGATATTAGCCTGAAATTTTCATTTTTTGTTGTGACTCTGGCGGGTTTTGGAATCAGGATGATGCTGGCCTCATCAAATGGGTTAGGGAGGATGGAGAAAATTAGAGTCCTTCTTTTTCTATTGTTTGTAATAGTTTCAGAAGGAAGGTACCAGCTCCTCTTTGTACCTCTGGTAGAATTCGGCTGTGAATCCGTCTGGTCCTGGGCTTTGTTGGCTGGCAGGCTCTTAATTACTGCCTCAGTTTCAGAACTTGTTATTGGTCTATTCAGGGATTTGACTTCTTCCTGAGTTAGTCTCGGGAGGGTGTTTATCCATTTCTTCTAGATTTTCCAGTTTATTTGCATAGAGGTGTTTATAGTATTCTCTGGTAGTTTGTATTTCTGTGGGATCAGTGGTGATATCCCCTTTATCATTTTTTATTGTATCTATTTGAGTCTTCTCTCTTTTCTTCTTTATTAGTCTGGCTAGTAGTCTCTTTTGTTAATCTTTTCAAAAAGCCAGCTCCTGGATTTATTGATGTTTTTTGAAAAGTTTTTCGTGTCTCTGTCTCCTTCAGTTCTGTTCCGATCTTACTTATTTCTTGTCTTCTGCTAGCTTTTGACTTTGTTTAGCAAGATAATTTCTGGGCAGTAGAGTGTGCACATCTTCAGTGTCGGTATGCGTGGCCACGTCTCTGCAGGTGGGCTGGACCAGGGTGGGCTCCCACTGCCGGCATGGGAGGGTTCTCTTTTCACACAACCTCATGCATGAAACACATTCATAATTGTGTGGACTTTTTTCTGGGTTTAAATTTGAAAATACTATCTCTTTACTTTTAATTTGCATTTTTTTGTGAGTAAATTTGATAGTTTTGTTTATTTTAAGTATACTTCACTAACAATATTTTGTGCCAGTGAGAACTACTAGCAAGGTCTAACAAGATTTACATAATGTATTATGTTTAGAAATAAGAACTCTCCACGGAGCTCAGCACGTGTTTAAAGAAAAAGCCCTTCCTAATTAGCCCTTCCTGACTAGCCGTGGCTGCTCACTTTCCATAGGCGGCATTTCCTTTGACCCAGGGCTGTGAGCCATTTTTATTGTCTGCACGTTTCTTTAAAAAGAAAACATGCAGTTACTTTGTGTTTGTTTTGCCTATTTTGCTGGTAAATAGAATTAATAGCCTGACATAAGAAAAATCAAGCACAAAACATGTCAAACCAGGAGAAATTAACTGAGAATTTCTGTTTAATTGTGACAGCTCGACCCACTTTTGTAATCCAGCCACAGAATACAGAGGTGCTGGTTGGGGAGAGCGTCACGCTGGAGTGTAGTGCCACGGGCCACCCCCCGCCACGGATCTCCTGGACGAGAGGTGACCACACACCCTTGCCAGTCGACCCACGAGTGAACATCACACCTTCTGGCGGCCTTTACATACAGAACGTTGTCCAGGAGGACAGCGGAGAGTATGCGTGCTCTGCAACCAACAGCATCGACAGCATCCATGCCACTGCGTTCATCATCGTCCAGGGTGGGTATCCATCCTCTGTGTCAGATCCAGGACTCAGCCCTGTCCTCCCCCATCCACCAGCTCACAGCATGGTGCCCAGAACACTCCACAGAAACTTCTGCCCTGTCCATTTCACTTGGTTTATTTTTATCCATAACACTCCCATTGGACTAACTACAGACGATTACAGTTTGTAGATTTTTAGAATAGAAGCCTGGGTAGGACGGGCTCTGTGCTCGGGCTTTGGGGTCTCCGGATTTCTAACACCTGGCTGGCAGGCGTGTCTGTCAGATAAGTGAGTGTGTGTGTGTGTGTGTGTGTCCACGTGTGCACATGTGCAGTAAGGTGGTTGATACACCTTGCAGACAGCTTCGAATACTTCCCTAAGATCAATTTTGGATGTAGCCTCTTGGGCATATTCATCGTTTTATGCATTCTGCCTTGTATTTCTACATTGCTTAATTGACTGTAAAATGAGTTATTCTTGTGAAGTGGGACTTTTACTGGAAAACATTCAAACAATACAGAAGAGCAAAAGGTCAAGTATTAGAGATGCTATTAGAGATAGAGAAATCATTTCCTTCCGCACGCCTCTCTTCAACCCTTGCCTGCCTCACCGGCGATCTGTCAAGAATCCATCCTTCTGATTTTCTTTGCACGTACAGCAATGCAGCCGTGTTACATGGATTTACTTTTTTGTGGCTGTAACTTTTATGAAAATGGAATCATACCAGACAGTACTATTCCATAAGTTACGCTTTTTCCTCCAGTGATCAGAACCACTGTCATCATACACAGCCACACCAGGTGGCATTTTTTTAAGCATTTGCAAATAGTAGTTTAGGGTGAGGGTTGAGAGGAGTCGTTGCAAGTCAGCCTGGTGTCCACAGCCGCGATGTGATCTCACCCGTGCCCTGCGTGCGTTGCAGCTGATGATGTGGCTGAATGCTCTTTGTGTGCCTTCCAGGGTAATGCTGAGGACACACCCATCCCTCGTCTTCCTTCTGCTTCACTCCTGTCTTCTCCCGTGCCCTCTGTCTCCTTCTGATCCCTCGTGGTAGACATTGCTCCTAGTGGTCAGGTGTCTGTCAAGACTGTGGTCATCTTGATGGTGCTTTTACCCCATGCTGTTTTTTACATGTCCTGTTTCGAATGCTTTCCCCCCCGGAAGCTCTTCCTCAGTTCACTGTGACGCCTCAGGACAGAGTTGTCATCGAGGGCCAGACAGTGGATTTCCAGTGTGAAGCCAAGGGCAACCCACCGCCCGTCATCGCCTGGACCAAGGGAGGTAAGAGCCAGGCCCCGGGCCTTTGCCTGCTCCCTCCACAGCCAGACACGGGAAGCACACATTTCCACCGTGGCCAGGCAACCCGGCACACTCTGGGCAGGGCTGAGCTGGGACTGGGTTCCACACGACCAAGGCACTGGGAAGTGCAGAGCTGTCTGCACACACCCCGCAGCTTCTTGTCCACGTGTGGCTGTCCCTCGTGGACATCGTGGCAGGAAACTCTCAGAAACTCTGTCATTACTGAAGCGACTTGGGGTGCCTGCCTTTGACTCCCTCACGCCTGCCTTGTTTCAGATAGTCTCTAGGTCGAGCCTTTAAGCAGTGACTTGAAGGAATCTGTTTGCATGGAGGATAGAATTTTCTGGAAACAGTCATGGAATATATTAAAACAAACAAACAGCTGTTGCTCCGCTTTGCTTCCCAGAGCTCTCACTGTCACCTCCCTGTTCAGCGCCGTGAACTCTCATGACATTCTTAGCCTCCCCCCTGACCCTGTTCCTTCAATGGGAAATCACTGGGCATGCTATTGCATAAAGGCACAGCCTGGGTGAGGGTTTGGGTGAGGGCAGGAGCTGAGACTGACCTCCTGGTTCCTGTCCAGGGATGCAGGCAGTTGCCCTGAGACCTCTGGCCACCCTAGTTTGCACCGAATGGCCAGCCCATCCCTTCAGCCCTCTGAGGGGCCCACCCAGGGCTCCTGAAGTCTTGGGGGAGGAGGCCTGTGCTTGCACCACACGCCCTGGACTTCCTTTCCTCAGGCAGTTACAGGCGGGAGCAGGAGAGGTTTTTCCCCGAAAGGAATGTGCTGGGGCCTCTCTTCACTGATAGCTCCAGCACTCGATCCTCTCCCCGGCTCTCCCAGCTCACATCCGCCCCCCTCAGACCCCCGAGTCCCCAGGTCCTCCTGGCTCCCTGTACTGCTTTTCCCTCTGTTCTCTGCCCCTTTCAACCCCTCTCTCTGAGTTACGGTGGTGCCGGGGCGTTCAGGCATCACGATGGCGTCTGCTGGGGAAGCGAATATTTGCTTATGGAGGGCCAGACCCAGGTGAAGACAAGCTTCTGTGATGCTGTCAGTTTGAGAGCAGGGGCTCTCGTACGGCCAGGTGTGCCGTGTAATGAACGGACCCATGCCCTTGCAGGGAGCCAGCTCTCCGTGGACCGGCGGCACCTGGTCCTGTCATCGGGAACACTTAGGATCTCCGGGGTCGCCCTCCATGACCAGGGCCAGTATGAATGCCAGGCTGTCAACATCATTGGCTCCCAGAAGGTCGTGGCCCACCTGACCGTGCAGCCCAGAGGTAGGCGCCAGGAGGTTGTGGGCGTAATGGATTTGCTCAGATCCGTTATCAGGAAACAGATTCCGCAGCTGACGTTCCTATTACTCTTGGTTATGAAGCGTTTGCTCTTCTCTCTGCGTTCTGTTCGCCGTCATTGTGCCCGTAACTCTGAGGTATCTGCATAGTAGCTCATTCAATCTCCATCCCTTTAGCTGGTGAAAACATTTGCTTATTTTCCAGTGGTGATTGTTTTGAACTTGGATAAGACTGACTTGTTAAAGTAAAACCTGTTAGGTTTTTTTTCCCGTTGGTTAATTAAGATTATTTTAGAAAACAGTTGTTTCTAACTGCCCTTTCTGGGGTGGTTATTTAAGCAGCACGGTGGAATCAATTTAGCTCCCAAGGCACAGACCCCAGGGGATGTGTCATGAAGCCAGATCTGGTTCCTCTCCCGTCTGCCCACTCTTCCTTGGAACCCAGCCTTCCTTTTGTTCTTTTTGGATGTCACTTTTGCCTGTTCTCTCCAATTAGAAGAGTACCTGAGACCTCATATCCCCCCGATAGAGTCAGCCTAGCACTGACTGTGGCCTCTGCAAGAGCGGCGGCCACCGACCCAGCCGCGTGTTGCAGGAGTCCTGTGCTGACCCCACCGTTAGCACAAGCGGCCCCGGAGCTGAGCAATCCAGGTTGCCACAGACCCTAAACCTGTCGTGGGGACCATGGAGAGTGGGGCAGAGAGGCTGTGCGGGGAGGACATGGGCTGGATTTCCTTGTGTCCCTTTTGGGGATGTCCCGAGATGGTGCGGGGCTTGCCTCTGCCTGTCGTCAGTGAGCTGTTGGTGACTGACCCGCTGGATGGGCTGTGTGTTTCCTGGGTTTGAACCCTTTGCGTCCCTGACGTAGCAGGACTCTGGGTGCCTGTGTAGAGAATGCGGGGTTTGGGATTCCCGGGCGGCCTCCCAGATGCCCACGGTCGGCCATGTTCCTGCTCTTTCAGATGAGGAAGCTCCTCTCTCTCACTGTGTTTCCTTCTCCCAGAGTCGGGCTGTCCTCAGAGCTCGTTCTCTACCGTGGGCCCCACGGCACAGCACCTGCCTGGGACTGTCCCACCACCAGTGCAGGGTTGGGGGCTGGAGGACATGGTGCCAGCCTGCCCTGGGCCCTGCGGCTGTCTGTCTCTGTGCAGAAGGACGTTGGCTATGGTTTACTCTCCTTGCTCTGGGAGGCGGGCAGATCTTCCCTGGGGCCCTCCAGGCTCTCCGGCCCCACACAGCGGCCACTGGGAGGCAGAGAAAGGGCCCATTCTCGAACCAGCGGCAAGCTCCTACCATCCCTGGGTGGCCCGATGGAGGGCAGGGGATTTTGCTCTTCTGAAGCTTTTTGATGTAAATGACTTGGTTTCCTGGATTCTCTCCCTCTGCCTTCTAGTAACCCCAGTGTTTGCCAGCATTCCCAGTGACACAACGGTGGAGGTGGGTGCCAACGTGCAGCTCCCCTGCAGCTCCCAGGGCGAGCCCGAGCCAGCCATCACCTGGAACAAGGTAGGTGGGCAGGTGCCCACACCACTCACCACTGGAACGAGATAGGCAGGCAGGTGCCCATGTCCCAGCCTCCCCTCTGCCGTAGGGTGTGAGGGGCCGGACAGCTGCTGCCTGCCCACTTCCTCTACAGACTTTCTATAGCAGAAAGAAAAACATTTAAGTCCTAAGCCTTGAGGTAAAAATACTCTGAGGGCATCATTACTAATCAGAACTAAACAAGCTTGGAGCATTCCGTTTTTTAATCTTTTTTAGTAACAAAAGCAAAGAAAAACCCTTGTATAGAACTATGGTCTCATCATCAATAAGGAAGGGGTTTCATTGTTACTTCTTTCTTTTTTTTTTTTTGCTGTTTTTATGAAGCTCAGTGGGAAAATGTGGGCAGCGTTCACACCCCATGGTCCATGTTTCTGTGAAATGCCTCCTGGGAGCACAGGGCCAGCCACGCTGGTCCCCGTGGAAGGAGAGTGCTCAGCGGAGACAGCCCGCCCTCCACCTGCACCCCGGCACTGCCCTGTGCATCTCCGTGTCTCCCTCCTCGCCACACGCACCCCAGGCATCTGCTCTTGGCTCCTGCCTAAGCTGTCACTTGTCCCTCTGTGTCTGCCTCTGAATTCTCCTTTGCCTCTTGGAACCAACCCCTTTTCTTTCTGAGACATCCCTGGGTCTCTTTGTAGGGCCCCCCACTGTGACAGGGGCCCCATCTCCTCATTGTGGAGAATCATCCTTGCATCAAGCTATCAAGCTCTGTCCTCCTAAAGAATGAGATGTGGGAAGTTCTTGCCAGATTGGCATTGGGAGAACTGGCCACACCTCCATCCCTTTCCAGGCCTGGATGGATCCTAGCGCAGCCTCAGAGAATTCTCTATCTGCAGATCCTAACACATAGCTCCCCAGCCCCGACTCTAGGTCAGACAGCTGCACTTCTTAGTCTTATTTCTATTACTGTTTTCATTCTGTTTTATTCCAGGATGGGGTTCAGGTGACAGAAAGTGGAAAGTTTCACATCAGCCCTGAAGGGTTCTTGACCATCAACGACGTTGGCCCTGCAGATGCAGGTCGCTATGAGTGCGTGGCCCGGAACACCATCGGGGCGGCCTCAGTGAGCATGGTGCTCAGTGTCAACGGTGAGTGCCGCATGCTCAGGTCTGCACCCGTGGTACCCACAAAGAAAGTCCACAGGCCCCTAGTGCCATCCCAGGCCAATTGGCTTAGGTTGTTTAGAATTGTTCAGAAGACAAAGCATCCATGATTCCTAGGTGGGGACCCTCTCCTGGTGCACAGCCTGGCTGCTCGCCCGCCCTTCCTCTCCACTCAGTCACCTGCAGCCCATCCACAAGCAGAGCCTTGCCCTGCAGCCCATTCACTGGGCAGAGCCTTGCCCTGCAGCCCACCCACAGGCAGAGCCTTGCCCTGCAGCCCATTCACTGGGCAGAGCCTTGCCCTGCAGCCTGTCCACGGGCAGAGCCTTGCCCTGCAGCCCATTCACTGGGCAGAGCATTGCCCTGCAGCCCGTCCACGGGCAGAGCCTTGCCCTGCAGCCCGTCATCGGGTAGAGCCTTGCCCTGCAGCCTGTCCACAGGCAGAGCCTTGCCCTGTAGCCCATTCACCAGGCAGAGCATTGCCCTGCAGCCCACCCACAGGCAGAGCCTTGCCCTGAAGCCCATCCATGGGCAGAGCTTTGCTCCAGGATCATCCACACGTGTCCAGATCTGACCGGGTGTCATTGACAGTTACAACTGGGCAAATGTGGTTGCTTTATGAGATTCTGCTTCCTTGGCTGTGCTTTCTCTCTCCTCGGGCTCTGACCAGGCACCCTCCGGAAATGTCTCAGCAGGAGCCTCTCGGGGCCAGTCAGTGGTCTCAGAGCCGTCCTGACTCTATGGCCGCACTTCCGTGTGCACCCTGGTCCCCTGCCACTCTGTCCCGCTCACCTGAAGCCCTGGGCACCTTGTCCGGCTCCTTGCAGCAAAGGCTCTGGTCGCTCTGGTCCATCTTTCTCAACTTGCAGACCCCATGATGTCTCCCTGACCCTTCTCCATGTCACCTGTGGCCACTGGGGTGACTCTCACACCCTTTAGCTTTGCACGGGGTCTTTACCGTGTGACCCAAGCCTGCACCTCATCAGCGGTGTGTTCCCCACCCCACCTCTGTCCCCCTAGAGTTACCAACACTCTGAGGACACGCACAGACCACCTTCAGGGGTGAAGGACCCTCTCACCGCCTCCCCACTCCCCGCATTGCCGGCCTGCCCGCTGGGCCTCTGCTGGGCCTCTACTGTTGCCTTTCCACTCTCATTGTGGCTGATCCGCCTTCTCCACGGGACTTGCTAACACGCACGGAGAGTGACTCCACTCCGTGCTGTGGGCATGGGAGACATGCATGTAAGCCGTAATGGAATTCCTCAAAGACTTTTAAGAATTATTTGAGGAAAAGTCTTAACTGACCTTATTTTACCATTATATGTAGCGTGTGAAATGAGTATAAAATTAAGTTGATGAAACCTAAAAACCAGTGGATTATTTTCAATTAATATTTGTTTTTGGCTTGAAAAATGTTACCTTAACATGAATTAATTACATCTAAAATTTAATCTCCCACCCATCATTCCATCCCCTCCAAATACCATCATGATTCATATTATGATTGGATTTCTTTTCTTTTTATAAAAAGTTAGATATGTAAATGCTTTTGGATTATTTTCCTGTGATCATTGCTTATAGAAAAACAAAATCAAATTAAACCATTAATAAGAATGAAATATTAGAATATAAAATTGCTTGTCTCATATATCTACCTATTAGTATAAAAACATTCCATTCCAAAAATTAGTAAATTTGGGCTCTGAGGTACACACACAGAAGTCAGGCTTCTGCCTAGTGACATTCTTTCAGCCATTTGAGCTGTCCATGTGTCCATACCTTAAATATTCAGAATAGCCGATCAGCCCGCCTGCCCCAGGGACCGTGATGTTAGCTGGCGGGAAAGTGAGTCAGGCTGGAGGTGTCCATCAAGCTCGGTGTGAACACAGCGTGTTGGAAGAAGATGGTTAGCAGGCCCTCGGGCTGGCCCAGTTATCACCCACAGTGGCCGCCCGCAGCCATGCATGCAGCAGGTGCCTCTGTGGGCTGGGCTCCATCCTCAGTCTGAGCCCGGTGGACCAGGCGCCCGGCCTCGTGGAGTGCCATCCTGGTGGAGAGGGGAGTTAGGAGCTGTGAGATGAACGGGCGCGCTCAGACAGGGAGGGGTCCCTGAGGAGCAGCAGGGATGGCATGGCGGGGGCGGGGGGACAGAGAGGTCAGTCATACCTGAGTATTGAATTCTGAGCAGAAGGAGCCACGGGGAGAGGAGGGGTGGCAGGGAGCAGCCTGGGCTGGGAGGGTAGAGGGGTGGGGTCCTGTGGTCAGAATGAGCCCAGCACCACGGGGTAGGGAGCACAGGGCTGGGCCATCTCAGGGACCCTTGTGCCCACTGGGCTGCAGAGTTAACCGTCCTTGCCCACATCCCGGGAAGCCAGGGGGCAGTTCCCGCACAGGATGTGTGAGCCGCTCTGCCTTCTAAGACTCGGCTGTGGCTGCGGATGAAGGGTCCGGTGAGGTGGCGAGGGACAGCGGAGGATGCCGGGCTGGGTGGGAGGAGGAGCGCTGTGCCCGTGCCCACCACTGGGGCCTGCGGGCCCGTCCCCGGACACGCAGCCGATGGCAGATCTGAGGGGCCTTGCTGGCTTGCACTGTGGGGTGACCGCCGGGCTCTGCCGGTGTTACTACCTGAGACCCAGAGACAGTCGGGGGGAAGCCGGCCTGGGGGAGGCGGAGACGCCGGAGTCCTGTTTAGCGTGAAAAAGGGAGAAGCCTGGGCAGTGCGTTGCAGCCACGGAGTGAGCTGCAGGGAGAGGGCAGGGTGGTGGCGTGGCGGGGACTCAGGGAGAGTGCGGAGGACCCGAACACCCGTGGGCCCTGGGCTGGAGCTCCGGCGTGAGGCCTGGTGGGCAAACACGTGGAGTGACGCCTGTGGACAGTCACAGAGAGCGAGGTGGGACTGGCCTGACCCTCGTCACCAGGCGGAGGGGGGGAGAGACAGAGGGGGCGCCTGCAGCTGAAAAGGAGCTCTCATGAGGAAGAGACCAGGAGAAAGCAAGTCCTAGTGAGGAGGGGTGGGTTCCTGCAGGGGGGACAGGTTTCCCTGAGGACAGAGCAGGTCCTTGTCAGGAGGGCGGAGGCCCCAATCTGTCAGGTGGGAGCAGCTCCAGACAGGAGGAGACACGTTCCAGGAGGGAGAAGGCAGGTCCTAGTCAGGAGTGGGCAGGTTCCAGGAGGGAGGGGGCAGGTCCCAGGGGGGGGGGGGCGGGTCCCAGGCGGGAGGGGGGAGGTCTCTGTCAGGAGGGGGAGGTCTCTGTCAGGATGGGGAGGTCTCCGTCAGGAGGGGCAGGTCCCCGTCAGGAGGGAGCAGGTCCCAGCAGCCAAGTGAAGGATGCTTTTTTGTAACGATGTTT